ATTTCTTTCTTTTCTCCCTCACTTTTCATTCCCCTTCCCCCCTACTTCAAAAATTTCTCTGTTTTTCTTCTTTCCACCTCTCTTTTGATTTATCTTTTCTCTTTTTTTTTAAATTCGAAATATCTTCTTTCCCACCTTCTTTTCTCATTTTCTGATTTATTTAATATATTTTTCTATTTATTCTGAAAAATTCGATTTTCTCTACGGCAACCTTAAATCTGATTAGTTGTTAGTTTTCTCATCTTCTTCCCCACCCTCTTTTCTTCTTCTTATTATTATTATTATTTTTTTAATTTATTTTTACTTATTCTGAAAATTCTTGGTGGCAACCCTAATCTGATTAGGTGTTAGTCTTTCTTGCTTTCGGCACACGTTTTGACCCCGTGGGGGTAACGAAGTGCTGCCGAAATTTTCTGATTTTCTCTTACTTAGTGTTTTCGGCACACTTCGACCCCATGGGGGTAACGAAATGCTGCCAAAACGCTGCCGCTTGGACGGTCATACCTCCTCGCGGTGCCCTTACATTACCGCCCTCGACCGCCACTACGCTGACCTTTCTCGTCAGCGTCGTGCTCAGTCCCCCCCCGGCGCCTCACGTCCCCGCGGCGCCTCCTAGCCACGGTGCAGTGTACACCTGCGCCCTCCTCAGTAGTGGGCTTCCCGACATCTCCGTCGCGGTTCGCCCCTCTCGCTACTGGAGTTGAGGTATCGCAGGACTCGACAGAGTGTACTCAGCCCTCTGTCGCAGTACCGTCTGCGCCTCCGCAGACCACCGTGTCCCTTCCTTCCCCGCCGCGACTACCGACGTGTCGAGCCATTCGCTCAGCCCGTTGCAGCGAGCAGCTTGCTACTCGCGAGGACGTCGTGTCCTCTCTTCTGGACTTGAGCATGCTCCAGGCTCGTCAGGAGCGACTCACCCTCAATGTCGCTGCACTGCGTCGCCTTCTCGCCATCCTCTCTGACCCTGATCGCACCCTCCCGATCATCCCCGTACGACTCGGGACCTCCACGAGGGTGTACTTAGCGCTGTGGGATTCCGGCTCTCATGGCGACTTCATTCACCCACGCGTGGTGAAGGAAGCCCGCTTACCCACAACAGGGTCTCCGACTCCCATCTCCGTTACCCTAGGGATGACAAGACCCAGCGCTTCTTCGATCAGACGGTCACCGACCTCCCCTGCTTCCTCACTCTCGAACCGACTGATCGTTCCCCGGCGTCTCGTCGCCCCCGCTCCTCTGCACATTTCGATGTGATGGAGACGGGGTACGACTTCATTCCCGGCACTCCGTGGTCTCGCCAGTTCCGCAGCACCGAGGCCGATTGGGCGACCAACACTCTCGTTCTCAAAATGAAGTGTGGACAGACGTATCGCGTACCTTTCATAGGTACCACGGTGACACCACGCCCCGATCCTCCTCCCCCGGAGCCTTCAGTGCCCACACCATCTCCCTCTATCACTGTCACCTCGCCTCGGCAGTTCGCTCACTTCATTCGAAAGGACGACGTCACCTTCTTTATGGTGGACGTGACGGATCTCTTACACTATGATCCACCCTGCCCGACGCCGAGCTCATCCCTCTGGAGCCAGATCCTCCCTCTATCTCCATGGCTCCCATCTCTACTTCCGTCTCTCCGTCGTCCGTCGAGTCCACCCCGCCGTCGCGCGCTGACGCTGACGCTGAGGAACTCGCACGATATACGGCTGACTTGGAGCCCACAGTTCGTGACCTCATCCGAGAGTACCACGACGTTTTCCCATCGTCGTTCTCGTACGCCGGCATCCCACCGATGCGTGACGTCGAGCACTCCATTCAGCTCGTGCCTGACTATCGTGTTCACCACCAGGCACCCTACAGACTCTCGATCCCCGAGGCCACCGAACTCAAGCGTCAGCTGGAGGAGCTCCTGAGACTGGGTTTCATTAAACCCAGCAACTCCCCGTGGGGTGCACCSGTCCTCTTTGCTCGCAAAGCGGATGGAACTCTTCGTCTCTGCATCGACTACCGCGGTCTCAACTGCTACACGGTTAAGAACAACTACCCCATGCCTCGTTCCGATGAGTTGTTCGACCGTCTAGCAGGCAACCGCTTCTTTACGAAGATTGATCTTCGTAGCGGTTACCATCAGATCCGCGTCGCTGCAGCCTACCAGCCGAAGACCGCGTTCCGATCGCGATTTGGCCACTACGAGTTCACGGTGATGCCATTCGGTCTCACCAACGCACCCGCTACCTTCCAGAGGGCGATGAACGACATCTTCAGGGACATCCTGGAGCAGTACGTTCTCATCTACCTCGACGATATCCTGGTCTATAGTCGTACCCTTGAAGAGCACCTCAGACACCTCCGTGACGTCCTTGACCGCTTGCGCAGACATGGCTTCTACGCCAAGCTAAGCAAGTG